ATAAAGAATGATTTTGAAAAGGCAAAGCCAATGAATGACAGATTTGTATGACACAGATTATCTTCTAGATTGACAACGATCCACCTATCTAATTAGAGAGGGATTGCCTGTTGTATTTCAGAAATGGAACATGAGTTAGTAAAGGAAACAAAAAGAAAAGTTCTAATCCTGTGCCAGGCACTCATTTCATAATAATCCTATAAGATGGTTATTTGGTTTTCACAGAGAAAGAAATCGAGGAATTAAGTATGTAATGTTTCTAAGATCATGCCAGTAGGAAGGAGAGAGGCTGGAATGGTGGGACTTCAGCACAGGGAGAAAATGTGCTGCCAAGATGGGTGGGTGGGTCAGGGGAGGTAGAAGCGAGCGAAGTGTGAAACCTAAGATAAAGATGGAAAGAGGAAGTTAAGGCCAAATTGCAGAAAGTCTGGAATTTCATAGTAAAGAATCTGGAGTTAGATGTGGAGGTTATTAACAGTCAACCCCCACTGGTTACGGTTAGTGAACCAGTTCACACATTTAAAAACTAATTACACAGATAATGGAAAGGACTTTGGAAACGAATAAAGCAAGGTAAGTGGAGCATGTTAGAGATATTATTTTAGACAGGGTTGGAAGGAAAGCCTTCTGAACAGAAGTGACTTAAGTCAGGGAGAAAGTGACACAAACACTTCAGGGAAGAGCACCCCAGGTTGGAAGACCCTGAACATAAACTCAGCATGTTCACATCGGAGAAACACGAAGAGAGTTGGTCAGACTGGAAAAGATTTAACAAGAAGAAAAGTGAGGAAATAAAGATCGAGCGGTGAAAAGAGCCAAATCACGCAGGATTCTCGATTTTATTCTCGGTGTAATGATACAGAGTTGTGAGCAGAACAGGAAGTAATATGATTCAACTTATTATTTTTTATAATATCTTATTGAAATCATAATGCATTCAAAATTTATGGTTCCCTAAAATACCAGCCCATAACGATCCAAAAAAAGAGTTAGTTTGGCACACTTATTCTCATTTAACCCATTCTGGCTTCTAATCCTTAGCTAAGGGCTCTTAAACCCTGTGTCCCCAACTCCCAAACTGCAGGCTGGTACCAGTCTGTGGTCTATTAGGAACTGGCCTCACAGCAGGAGGTAAGCCGGGGGTGGGGGGGGCAACAAGGGAAGCTTCAATTGTACAGCCGCTCCCCATGGCTAGGACCACCACCTCAGCTCTGCCTTCTGCTGGATCGGCAGCAACGTTAGGTTCTCATAAAATCATGAACCCTACTGCATGTAAGGGATCTAGGCTGGATGCTTCCTGTGAGACTCTAACGCCTGATGACCTGAGGTGGAGCTGAGGCGGTAAGGTTAGTGCTGGGGTCATCTAGTTGCAGAAACACAAGCTCAGGGATCTCACTGATGCTGCACTGTGGTGAGTTGCAGAATTATTTCATTATATATTACAACAATAATAATAGAAATAAAGTAACACAATAAAATTAAAGTGTTTGATTCATCCTGAAACCAACCCCCTAGTCTGTGGAAAAATCATCTTACAGGGCCAGGCGCAGTGGCTCACGCCTGTCAAGTGGATTGTCTGAGCTCACAAGTTCGAGACCAGCCTGAGCTAGAGTGAGACCCCATCTCTAAAATTAGCTGTGTGTTGTGGAGGGCACCTGTAGTCTCAACTACTTGGGAGGCTGGGGCAAGAGAATCACTTGAACCCAAGAGCCTAAGGTTGCTGTGAGCTATGATGCCACAGCACTCTACCCTTTGTGAGAAAGTGAAACTCTTTCTCAAAAAAAAAAAAAAAAAAAGAAAGAAAAATTGTCTTACATGAAACCAGTGCCTGGTGACATAAAGGTTGGGAACTGCTGCATAAACCAAACATTACTACTCTGTTCTAGAATTTTGCCAGGTACTTCCTTTGATATCATTCTTCCTTCTCCCTGACCCACATTCCTTTTTTCTTTTTCTTTAAGACAGTCTCATTTTGTCACCCTCAGTAGTGTGCCGTGGCCTCACAGCTCATAACAACCTCAAACTCTTGGGCTCAAGAGATCCTCTTGTCTTAGCTTTCCAAGTAGCTGGGACTTAGGCGCCCACCACAATGCCTATTTTTTTTTTTTTTTTAGAGACAGGGTCTCACTCTGGCTCAGGCTGGTCTTGAACGCCTGAATTCAGGCAATCCACCTGCCTTGGCTTCCCAGAGTGCTAGGACTACAGGGGCGAACCGCCCAGCCACCCCCACCCCCCCGCCAAATTCTTTTGGGAACCTTGACAACATTTTCCCTCCTCTTGTCTTTTGCTGTACAGAATGAATTAATCAGCAGGTAGACTATGTAATCCTTAAAGGAGATGCCAAAGGAACTCAAAAAACAAAAAAGTGGAGGTAAAAACAGAAGGATGAGGAGAGAGAGAAAAGGAAAGAGGCAGCCCAGGTGGGTGCATGGGACACCTGAAGGGTACCTGCAGGGGAGCGATAAAAACCACAACTACACAGAGCGCAACAGACGTCACCTGCCACTTCACCTGACGTCTGAAAGAAAATCCACAAAAACAGCAATGTCTGTACTGAAGGGGAGACAGGAAGATGGCTGAAGTTTTCTCACATTTTTGGTAAATTTTCTATACTAGTGTTACATTATTTCTATACCTTAAGGTAGATTTTTCTGGAAAAGAAAGTTAGGCAGGTTAGTTATTTATTTTCCAGAACAAGCAAAAGTCAAGATCAGCACAAATTTTGAGATACTGGACCTTACATGCTAAGAGACTAAAATTAGACCTACATGGAGATTTTTGTGTTTAAACTTTTACAAAAATGTACTTTTTATAGGGAGGAAGAAGGGAGACTGCAGAGCCCAGAGCAAAGACTAGACAATCTGGAAGAGTAGAGTGGTGGCAATTTTCCGATGCTGCTGGGTTTTCTATAACGTCCAAGTGGACAATGAAAGCTAAAAAGGCAAACCCAACATATATAGTTGGGTTGTCATCTAGTTGGTTTATCATCTAGATATCATATAGTATATCACTCAGGCCTATTCCTGGAAAGGGAGAGGGTGCCTTGGTGCCTCAGTCTAACTCCCCTAATGGGTCCAGAGATCTAGCTATTCCAAATGAAGGACAGAACATAAAATTCTTCCAGGAAAGAAAAATCGCAGACATGCATGCATGCATAGATACATACTTAATACTACATATACAAAAACTAATCTAGGTAAGAAAGTTCCCTTCAAAATATCATGTCAGTGGTTAGACTTTAAGACAGTTCACATTCTATGGCCCACTCCCTTTAAAATTACTTGTGACTTTTTTCTATATTTCAAGTTGTCCCTAGTAAAAAATTTAATAAAAAATGTTTCCGTGTGTTCATAATGCAATAATAAAGCCTTGTTTTATCTTTCTTTTAACTGTCACTCCTGATTAACTTTATTTCTATAGAACAAAATAAGTCTTTTTATGAATTCTCATTTTACTTTCCCTAAACTCCTTGCTATGGTTTTTTTTTAATATATCTGCCAAAATTCATGTGTTGGAAGTTTAATCCCAAATGCAACCGTGTTGGGAAGTGAAGCTTAACAACAGATGATGCGGTTATCAGGGCTCTGCCTTCATGAACGGATCAGCGTCCATATTGCAGGAGTGGGCTTGTTATAAAAATGAGCTCTGCCCTCTCGGGCTCTCTGATTCCCTTGCTCTCTCTTTGTCCTTCTGCCATAGGATGATGCGGCAAGAAGGCCCTTGCCAGACACAGCCCTTCCATTTTAGACTTCTCACCTCCAGAAACATGAGCCAAATAAATTTCTGTTCACTACCCAATCTCAGCTATTCTGTTGCAGCAGCACAAAATGGACTAAGACACCCCTTAGACTTACTCTATCAGTGACTGCTAAGACTTAAGCTCTATTAATTGGTGTCCACCTATGTTACACAAACAACAGTGTCCCAAGTCTTTTTTTTTTTTCTTCTCCTTCTGTTTTCTCTCTTTCTTTCACTCTTTTTTTCTTTGTTTCTTTCTTTTTTTTTTCTTTTTCTTTGACAGAGTCTTGCTCTGTTGCCCTGGTAGAGTGCCATGGCATCATCAGCGCTCACAGCAACTTCAGACTCCAGATTCAAGTGATCCTCTTGCCTCAGCCTCCCAAGTAGGTGGCACTACAGGTAAGTTGTACCATGCCTTGCTAGGTTTTTTTTTTTTCTATTTTTAGAGGAGAAGAGGTCTTGCACTTGCTCAGACTGGTCTCATACACCTGAGCTCAAGTGATCCTCCAGCCTCGGCCTCCCACAGCACTAGGATTACAGGCATGAGCTATCATGCCCAGCCTGTGTCCCAAATCTTATTAACTACAGAGATGAAACTCTAGTTGCTTTATATACAAATTCCAATTGAATATCTGTCCAAGAGAGGACAATAATTGCCTAGAGGCACAAAATTTAGTTACTTGACTTTTTTGATATTTTTGTCCTTATCACCTCTGTTCAAAGTCTAACATCGTTCCAAATACAACTGTATTAGATTTTTTTCAGAATACTTTTGAATGATTATAAAAATTCCAGCTTTCTTCAATAAGGATAATTTCTAAATGATTCAAATCCAATGATTATGTTCATAAATACATAAACTTTACCTAAATGCTTTAATTAATATTTTAAATAAAATGTTACACCTGGCTTGGCGCCTGTAGCACAGTGGTTATAGCACCAGCCACACACACCCAGGCTGGTGGGTTCGAACCCAGCCCAGGCCAGCTGAACAACAATGACAATAGCAACAAAAAATAGCCGGGCTCAGTGGTGGGCGCCTGTAGTCCCTGCTACTTGGGAAGCTGAGGCAAAAGAATCGTTTGAGCCCAAGAGTTTGAGGTTGCCATGAGCTGTGATGCCACGTCACTCTACTAAGGGCAACATGGTGAGACTCTGTCTCAAAAAAAAAAAATTATGCCTGATAAATTTGTCTCACAACATAACCCACTAACATATTTTGCTTTGATAAGTATTCAACAGAATATAAATAATACACTCACTGGAAGGCTTAGGAATTCATTAAAGTAGTCCACAAGGAAATTATCTGTAGCCAAAGAATCTTCCTGCAAAAACATAAGAACAACATGATTTTATTATGATGTTTATATTATTCCTTAATTCTGCTATCAATTTACTATAACGTGGATCTGTAAGTCTTTTTTAGGCTGTCAACAGTGAACCCTCAGTGTGAACAGAACGTGATGCAACCACCTTTGGAAGGAAGAAACCAGGAAGCAGAATGGAGCATGCTCTTAAAGGCCTTGCTACTAAAACAGAACACGTGAAAAAGAAAACACTTAAATGCAACATCAACAAATATAAAATCCTACCCTCACATGGCAAATTCCCATATACATCTTTCATAAAATTAAAGGCAGTGTCAATAAAGACAGAAGCAGTGGCTGGGGTTAAAATGAAATTAAATATAAATTTTTTAAATGGCCAATGAAGTAATAAGCTAAGTGAAGAAAATGTTCCATCGCTTCCCCCCCCCCCCCCCCGAATGAGATACAGTTTTTATAATCTGGATCCTGCTTTACTTTTACAATAGTAAATTTTGACAATGCATGTGTTGTAAGCACAGAGATTTTTGTACATTTTTTCCATAACTATCTCACCCATCAACAGAGCCACTTTTCAGATGGGCAAAATTGAAAAGCCACTGCCAAAAGCAAAATCTCTCTTCCAAATCATAAAACACCTTATTTTATTAGTAAATGTTTCCATTATATCAAAAGCACATCATGGCACACTATTGTAGAATACGTGTGTTTATTTTGTTATTCATAATTATATTTCGATTTCACAAATCTAATATGAAAGTCGACAATATGACACACTGCTATTATTTCCATATGGCTGATTACTCTCTTCTCATACTGGCCAACTTTTAAATATTTATTGAAGTATAGTGCTATCAGGAAGATACCATTATATTGATACCTACTTCAGAAAGGAGATTTCCAGGGTAATTTCTTTAAGTAACTATAATGTCAGTAGAGAGTTATAAACAATCCCTCATATCAAGGAACTCACTATAAACCTCAACTGACTCAAATAACAAAAGATTTATTTCGTAAAAAAAAAACTCAACTGATTAAAACAGCAACAACAACAAAAAGGATTTAATAAATATACAACTTTAGTAGCGGTATGTAGGAGACGCCAAGAGCCAGATGACATCCTAGCAAGATGACCTGCAGCTGAGGTGTGGACCTCGGGCCATTCCTCCACAGGAGCTCCTTGTGGAAGAAGAGCCCGTGCCCTCAGCACGTGGTCATTGTTAATTGCTCCCCTCACCTGTATCATTCCGTTTCAATAAAAGGCTGGTGCAGAGGTTGCTTGGGGCTACCCGGAAAGTAAGGGCTAGCCCGCCTTCCACAAGCTTGTACTTCTAATCCACCTCTCACCTGGTTCATTCCTGCACTAACCGAGACCAGGGCCATAGGAGCCCAACAGGTCGCGACAGCGGTACCTCAATAATTATGCTCTAATTTCTGATTGGCAAAGGTCCGACAAAGCAGGACAAGGCAGATAGAATTTGGGGAATATTAACCTTTCAAATTTTTCCTTTCAAGGATGCCGTAACTTTATGGACATTTGGTGAACTACCTAGTTTTTGCTAACTTATGAGAAAACTTCTGAATTCAATACATATTTTTCCAATCAATATTCTACCTTTCTCCTAGGTGGAAGGCACTGTGCTACAAAAAAGGTGGCCAAGTTTGGCAGTACTGAACCATATGATCAAAAATCCATAGATGTGTTGCTTTCAATTAAGAGCAGTGAAGCAGTTTGATGGAAGTGTTTCAGATTGTGTGTGAAAACCCCATACTGTACCCCAGAAGTGCATTAATATACATAGTTACCATTCAATAAGAATAAAAAAAAAAAGAACAGTGATGGAGTATAATGCCTTGTCAATTTTTCTAAAACGTGCATTTTTTTTAATATTTAGCCATAATATTCATTTTTAATATTTAGCCACCATAGCTCAGTGGTTAGGGTGTCAACCACACACCAGGGCTGGCAGGTTCGAACCCAGCCCTGGCCTACTAAACAACAATGACAACTACAACAACAACAAAAATAGCCAGGAGATGTGGCGGATGCCTGTAATCCCAGCTACTTGAGAGGCTGAGGCAAGAGAATCGCTTGAACCCAAGAGTTTGAGGTTGCTGTAAGCGGTGACACCATAGCACTCTACTGAGAGCAACACAGTGAGAGTCTGTCTCAAAAAATATATACATATTTAGCCATAATACAGAAATTTGTGTATTTCATAGAGCCAAGCAGACAGAAACACTGCCTAGAAGTTGGCCAACCTCGTGGCTAGAAATTTCCAGATAAATCCTCAGATTCATATATTCATTTCCAGATGCCACACTTTTCTAACAGATTCTAACTCCATGAACTATGTGTGATGAGGTACCTTTTCCTTTATCTATTTTAAACAGATAACTTCTGTAAAATAAATACAATAAGAATGAATTACTAGGAAATAAAATGAAAGCATACATTCTAATCTCAACTATTTTTATTTTTAAATTCAATTGCTATAAACACACTCTGGAATTCCCACAAAGATTCTAAACTTACACTCTTTAATTTCTGAGCTCATCTCACTATGGACTGATAAGTGTTCTTATCAATAGCAGCACTACCCTGAGCATCTGGTGACCTGGCATTCAGTCACATCCTACGTTCCCTCAGCCCTCTACTCTCTCTTTAGAGAAGAGAGAGTACTCTCTCTCTTTATATTCTGAACACGTTAAACATGCATATAAAAATATGTGAGCTACTCAACCCGCAATGTGCAGAGTAATTGAAGGAAAGGTCTAAAATTTAGTGGACCTGAAAAGGTCTACTTACAGGCAACCATGGAAACTTAAAGTATTATTCAAATATATCAAATCTGTATTGATTTTCTAAAATTTTGTCTTAATCTCTGTCACATTAAATGTCAGCAATTCTGGTGATATGGGACTCCTCCACAGCAGGAGTAAGTGCAGCCTCCAAGTAGCACCTGCTCGTCCTTCTGTGGCACTTGAGTGGGAATGCCTGCGGTTCTCTAAATAAACGAGCACATTTTCCCACTGTCGCTTCTAGTTCCATGTGTTCAAATATATTGTCATGTACATCTATGAGTAGCCTACAAACCCTTTAAGCCCTAAACTCTTTAATTAAATAAAAACATTTTTTAAGGCCTTGAGCTGAAGTAGTAGTTCAGTTATTCTCCGTAAGTTTCCGCAGTTCATTTCCTCGGCCATATTAAAATGATCTAAGTCTTCATACTCACCAGGCTCAGTGGCTCATGCCTATAATCCCAGAACTTTGAAAAGCCAAGGTATGTAGGATGGAGCACAGGGTTAAAAGTCCTAGGCACTAGGGACAGAGAGAGGTTAAAAGTGCTAGGCACTAGGGACAGAGAGAGGTTAAAAGTGCTAGGCACTAGGGACCGAGTAATCTGTAATCTGTAATACAGAGTAATCACTGCTGGCCATGAGTACTAAAAACAATACTCAGTAGATACAGCACACTATCTCAGTCCTAAGTCATGTATTAGCAGTAATTTTAAAAAGTGCCCTAAACAGAATGTGTTAAGAGTTCAACTATGTAGTTAAACTCCTTGTTTTTTGACCTTTATTCTCTCTTTGAAGCTTTCCGTTGTGTTGTTTTTTCTCATGCCTGAGATTTCAATAAAACCCAGTGAGGGACATTGGAGGGGGCTTCACCCTTGCCCTTTCTTGCTGAGAGCTTGCTCATGCTGGCTTCTCTAGGTCCCTCAGTTCAATGCAAATGGACGGAGGAGGTATTATTTATTTGCATTGAGCTGTACTGACAAAGGAGGAAGGATCTCTTGAAGCCAGGAGTTCAAGACCAACCTGGTCAACATAGAGAGATACCAACTCTACAAAAACTTTAAAAAGTAGCTGGGCATGGTGGTGTGTGCCTATAGTCCCAGCTACTCAGCCAGTTGAACTGGGAGGACAGCCGGAGGCCAGAAGCTCTAGGTTATAATGAGCTATGATCATGCTACTGGGTGACAGAATGAGAAAGAGTGAGAAGAATGTCTCAAAAAAAACAGAAGTCTACACACTCAGGTTTAATATTCTTCCAAATAATCAATAAACTGGTGATGGTTAACAGTACGATCAAGAAGAAAAATGAGTTACCATCAATTCCTCCATTACATCATTCCATAAACCTGACTGCAAGACTGCAAAATTTGTAATACAGATTCTCCGCTGAATGATGCAATGGAAAGTAGGAGCACTTCCTCAAAATTGAATATGCTCTTGAAACCTGTTTCTTCATGTATTACAGGTGTGCCATCTGCGAACATGAAGTCAGCTTTTCCACTTTTAGTCCAAACTTCTCAAATTGCTTACTGAAAGAGGGGTAAGCAAAATAGTTTACGTGGGCTTGCTAATTATGAAAGGGTAAAATTTTTTGCTTAAAATTATTTTGCTGTACCTTCAAGTCACATGAACTACAATTTATTCAAAACTCCAAAAGATGCAAGATATACAAGGACATACAAATAAGAAAGACAAAATAAAATAAATACCAGCAAAAACCATAGCCCCAGAAAGAATATAATACATGCCATACAATATAAACTATTTCCTCCAAAGGAGGGAAAGATGTTATCTAGTAGGAAGAATCACAAGAGGCTCAAATGGATAAAAATGGCATTGGAAATGCATTTCAAATAACTGCAAATTCTATATTTAGAAATAAAAATATTAGTACACAAAGAAATGCATGAGCAGACAGGTCAGAATGCAAAATACAAGACAGGCTTGGCGCCTGTAGCTCAGCAGGTAGGCCTCCAGCCACATACACCAGAGCTGGCAGGTCCGAATCCAGCTTAGGCCTGCCAAACAACAATGACAACTACAACCAAAAAATAGCCGGGCATTGTGGTGGGTGCCTGTAGTCCCAGCTACTTGGGAGGCTGAGGCAAGAGAATCACTTAAGCCCAGGAGTTAGAGGTTGCTGTGAGCTGT